TATATACTAATTTTTAAAGTATCAAATTGAATTTTGTTCAATAAAAATCTTTCAAATGCGACTGTAGCTTTTTTTCCCCAAAAAACTTTGTCTTCAAAATAAGGGTGCGTCTTATATTCCGAAAAATACGGTAAAGCCTTTGATACATACCACTGAAACTGTTGTGTAAAATCGGAGCTAAATACAGGGTGAGGATAGTGGCCCGGTCCTGGTAACGGATACATCGGAGTTCGGGGAATTCCTGGAGAGAGTGAAGCAACTGGAATTAGAACAATCAAAATGTTCTAGTTATTATTTAGTGCTCAAGATTTAATTAAAAGTCGCTTCTCTATATTAGTACTTGTTTTGTTTTGTTCTTAATTAAAATTCAAGATAAAGGATTGGCAACCGCTGTTCATCAGGCGTACGGGGGATTTTTCAGAGGGGGTGTACAATTTGTGCCCGAATGATGTTATGAGTTTTTCCTAAATGAAGGAAAAAAATTGCCTGAATCATCATATTTTCTGCTTCTAATTTCGCCCATATGAAAACTAAAAATTTGCCCGAATGGTAGTATGTATTGCAAGCTAAGAGGGGCTGCCGACCCCCAGCCTTCCCGCCTCTTACACCTCTATGGACGCTATCTACATCTGAAACAATGTTCTACGAAAATATTGGGGTATTATAGTTAAATGAAAAGTTAGTAGCGTGTTCAAAAACCATATTAAATGTTAATAATGTTTTACTTTAGTTACAAACATCTCAAAAAACTAACTTGAAGGCAAGTTGAAGCAATAAAAACAGTAACTTCTGCTCAAAAATTTTCGTTTTGCTTTTCCATCCTAAACATTTCAGTCAAATACAGAAATTTAACGGGCTATCTTATCACTTTTTATTTTATTACGTGATGAAAACCGTGTTAAATTTATGAACTTTATTGAAAACTACCCACATTCAACAATAATTATGAGGCAAGGAAATTTCATGTGAGAATTTATATATCTAAACGAACTAAAAATTTATACTGAATAGTTTAGGTAGTTAAAATTATTTTAGAATAAAAAATATATCATACGATAAAAATTAAACTTTGGACTATCTGCGCTGTATTGAATCCTGATTTTTAACGTTACAAGCAAGCAAGGTTACGGCTGATCCACCGATAGGCACTTTTTATACGAAAATTACTCATCTGTTAATAGATTTAATCAAAACTGGTCAGTATCCTACTTTCAACTGTATTACTTAACTGGTGATCTACGAAAAATTTGACTGAAACTCGCTCGCTGTTAATTTCCACAGTTTAACAGAACAACACGTGCTTTATTTTTTACTACAAGTTACCACATTTATAGTAAAGAAGGTTATTTTTTAGAACAGGTACGACATATAGATCAATGGTGCGATCGTTCTCAAACACACAAGTTTTAACAAGAAGGTTTTAGCACAGGTGTTGGCCAGCGTTCAAAGAAGAAGAGCCTTTTTTTTATTTTGTCTCGGACCAAAACATTTCGAGAGCGGCAATATGTTCTAACCTAAAAAAAAAAAGGTCCCCCGGTGGAACGGCAGTAAGTGTTCTGATTTGCAACGCTAAGTGTTGAGATTATATTTTTAACACCCATCGTGTCTGGAAGATTCTCAACTTTTCTTGACAATAAAAATAAAGCTCGAGAACCGCAGGTTGCCGACTTCGTGTATTAGTATTTAAATCAACTCAGGTAAGCTCAAAACGAAACTAGTAACAAATGTATAGTTCGTAACTTCTAGGAATATAAACACAACTTCCATTACACTTAATCTAACTCGGCTTCCGTTATATACAAGGAAGTAAAGTATCTTGTATTATTCATCTGAAAATGACTAAATAACGAAACAATAGCCTAGATTATTAAACTTAAGCGATACGAATGCTTGAAAGAACCAGTTCAATAACTATTTAGTTATTCTCTTTGAATTCTTCACAAAAGAGCTAGCTATATCTGCATTAACTAAGAACTTTGGAATAATCTTTGATAGTCCTTTTCTAAGTTACTGTAATTTAGAACAGTTTAACAATTTTTTTCGAGAAATATGTTAACTATTTAATAAGGCTAGCTTTAGTTCCTTCTTGCAAAATAAATTTTAGCTTAACACTAAAACTCCTATTAGTTAAATTGTAATACACAACATAATTGAACAGAATACTCAACAAGTACTCATTTTACGTAGCAGATAACATGTGTTCAGATTTATACGAAGAAATGATAAAATGATAGAAAATGATATACAAAAAAAATTCATAAGCCAAATATCATTTAATGATTTACATAGGAATAAAATCCTTCAAGCATATTGATATATATGTACATGGTCAAAGCAACATCTTCCACGAGAGTCAGAAATAGTGTATTTTGTGTAACTTTTCGTATCGAGATGGCTCTTTAGTCTACGTGCGAATAAAGCGTAGCTCAACTTGAACCCCCCCCCCCCCAGTGGCACAGCGGTATGTATGCGGACTTACAACGCTGGAAACCGGATTTCGATACCCGTGGTGGGCAGAGCACAGATAGCCCATTGTGTAGCTTTGTGCTTGACTTTAAACAAACTCAACTTGAAAATGCAAATAACTTTCAAAATACTTTCTATGTGTTGGATAAATCGTAGAATACCCCATTAGCCGTTAAACTAGCAAAAATATAACAAAACTGGTATTGAATAAATATTTATTTCATTATTACACCTTGTTTTTTTTTTGGGGTGGGGGATTTCGTGCGTCTGTTTTCATTCGTAAAGTTGTAGAAGAGGTTTGCATAAAATAAACGTTATCGGACATTTTACTTATTTTTGAAAGAAAACAAGCTAGTGATACAAATTCATCGTAAACCAATTTAAGATTCCAAATTTCTCTATTTTTATCGCAATAATCAAGAATCTACATTGGTATCAACCCAACAGACAATTTTTAATTACGTAATTACATTTCAATATTCAATGGGATACACATCAATATACTAAGTACATTACAATTTATAATATTCTATTTGTAGAGTACATAAAAAATACATTCAAATATCAAAACTTGATTTCTGACTTTGTGCAACATTAATTGAAGTTCATTAAAACTTAATACATTTTATTTGTTTATTTTAAGTGCAAAGCTACAGAATGGGTAGAGTGGTTAACTATTCTGTGTCCCCCACAGGAATGTAGCCCCAGTTTTTCGCGTTATAAGCCACTGAGCCAAAGCTACAGAATGGGTAGAGTGGTTAACTTTTCTGTGTCTCCCACAGGAATGTAGCCCCAGTTTTTCGCGTTATAAGCCACTGAGCCAAAGCTACAGAATGGGTAGAGTGGTTAACTTTTCTGTGTCCCCCACAGGAATGTAGCCCCTAGTTTTTCGCGTTATAAGCCACTGAGCCAAGGTAATAGCTTAAAACAAAAAATATAATACTGTA